TAATTCTTGGTATATCTGTGGGAGAGGGCGAGCTGTGAGTCCCTCCACTCCTCCATCTTGGCACCTCCTCTCTGGTGTGTTCATTCCTGATTAAGGTTCTTCAGATGCTGACTGACTGTGGTTTCTTGATTAGGACACTATTAATTCACCACACCTCAGGCTGTGCACATAAATAACACTATATCCTTATGTCTCTGACATATTTGGAAACAAGTTGCAGAAATATAAAAATAAGAGATGTGTGGAAAATTACCTGGATGCAATTGTAGCCTCCAAATAAATTGCCAGGCAATCTAATTCAGAGGTTACTTAACTGAAAGTCTCACAAACTAAGATGGTCAAATCATATGGTTTGTTGAAGCAATTTAAAACACACATTGCAAAGCAAGGGGAACGAGATGAGATAGGTTAACATACTTAATGGAGGGTACCTATGAGGTGAAAGGGCCACACGGTCTGAATTCTGGGGATGTTTGCATATTCTCTCTCTCTTCTTCTCCCCACCCTTCTCATTCTCTCTCTGCCATATCAGTCTTCCCAGCGATGGTGTGTTTATGAGGACCAGAGGTGAGGTTTGAGCAAAATACCCCAAAATGATAGGTATCTGGGACAACCCACATGGTTACTCTGAGACACCTGCAAGTGCCCCTGGTCAACATCTGTATTTTGCCAGTAAGTCAGATAAACAGCTACTCTTGGGCTGAAACCCTGGAACCAGGATGAGTATCATTCATAGGAGCCAATCTAAGACTTCACAGATTGAATATTGCCTGGAGGCAACCATTGCATTAATGTAATTTCCTACAGGACACACTTAAAAAAAAAAATCCTGCCCTTAAAGAGCAGGAATATTTGGTACCTCTCATTTCTTCCCTCCCTTCCTCTCTGCATTTAGCACGGGTATTCCTCTACTTCATTTATTTATGTCTAACGTAGCTCATATGTTACTTGCATCTATGTTTAGTGTCATCTCCTCTCCCTATTTGCTTCTCTTACTTTCTACTGCAGAACTGAATAATCTTAAATAATACTGCAAACATACATTACAAGAGATTATCATAGAATTAAGAGATTTCAGGGGAAAAAATACTGGTTTTAGAAATGATGATGGAACCTATTATACAAAATTCATTTAGCTTATCTATCTTTGGAAATAGCCAAGGGGAAAACCTATTTGCTGGTGGTTTGTTTATCTAGGGATTTTACCTCTAAAAAGAGAGGGCTTTGAGGAAAGCAGACATTGCAGAATTAAATTCTAAATGGGTTTGTGCAAATGAAAATTGGATACTGGCTAATTCAATTAATTTCTATTCATGCCATCAGTGAAACAGGAACTCCAGGCATCTGATCAGATGCAAGAAATCTAGAGAAGCAGGATGCTGGAAACCAAATTACTTTCCTAGAATTCCAGCTCCGACATCCACCAAAATATTCTTGACTGAGTTGTGTGGATCAGCTCAGCACCAAGACCTATGGTTCATTTATGAGTCCTGGACCTGCCATAGAACACATTCCACAAGGGGGAGCCGATTTGCCTGAATGAGTGAGTTATTTCACTTCGTAAATCACTGATGATAATTCACCCGTTTTTCTGGAAACTCGGAGTTCTTTCAGCCATCTCTGACAGTTCTAAATCAAATACAAAAATACGCCTCCTTAGAACAAAAGAGAACAGTATGAGACGGACCCAATTACAAATAAGTTTTATGAATACAAAATCTCATAAATGGGTCCCCATTCAACTGGGCAGTTTACGGTTACATTTCTGGGCCTCACCTGAGACCTCACCTATTGAATTAAAGTCTCAGGGACTGGGGTCCAGGGATGTGAATTTTAAACAAGCTGTACAAGAGGTTCTTCTGCACACTGAATTTCGATCAAAAGAACTAAGGAGTTATTTTAACAGCACTCACAGGACGTAGTAGTCTTCTTTGGATTTGTGTAGAAGTTAAAGTCCTTTCTTGTAAGTTTGCAATTAGAACCACAAATCAGCATAGCTGAAGTACAGTGAGTGTTCGCTCTGTCCTTATTAATAAGGATGATGACAGTGGGCCAATTAAAAAAAAAAAACTCATCGTTAACACCTGTAGCATATTTAGAATATTTGGTTACATCTGGGCTTTGATAACTCTTTTCAACTGAGTTTAAATGGCAGAAAAAGTTGGAAGCTAATTTCCTTTAGAGTAGGGTTTACTCCTCTTAACTCAAAGCCCAGTGGTTTTTAAAAGGCCTGAGATAATGTTTCCAAGTTGAGATTGCATTTACTTAAATGATACTTTTTTTACTTTTTTTTAATTGAAGTATAGTTAGTTGTGTCAGTTTCTGGTGTACAATAGTTCAGTCATATGTATATGTACATATATGCATTTTCATATTCGTTTTCACTATAGTTTACTATAAGATATTGAATATCTGTGCTATACAGTATGAACTTGTTGTTTACCTATTTTATGTATAGTAGTTAGTATCTACAAATCTCAAACTCCCAAGTTACCCCTTCCGACCTCCTTCCATCCTTGGTAACCATAAGTTTGTTTTCTATATCTGTGAGTCTGTTTCTGTTTTGTAAATAAGTTCATTTGTCTTTTTTTTAGATTCTACTTATAAGTGATAGCATATGACAATCTCCAGGTGCATCCATATTGCTGCAAATGGCATTATATCATTTTTTATGGCTGAGTAGTATTCCATTAAATGATAATTTCAAGCTTAGACTTCTTCCTATATCTTCAGCTTCCGTTTGCCTCACTCATACTTGACTCTTTACCAAGTTAATAACCTGTTTGGGTTTTGGAATACTCATCTGTAAAGTGGGAATAATAGCAGAACATACCAACTTCTGTTTTCATGAAAATTAACAATAGCCAGTAAAACAGTCCCTGATCCACAGTCTTTATGCTGTGGCCACTAATGGTGCAACTCATACTCATCCATGTCCAGGAAATTGGCTGGAAGACTTTTTTTTTTTAAAGGGAAAATAATGGATAAGAACCAACAACCTTCCCATTATCTATTTGTCTCAGTGGGTAACATGCATTCCAGCAGTTTGCCCACCCTCTGGAACCCCTATTCCAGTGGCTATCCAACTATTGAAACAAGAACTGCCCTCAGGGCAAGGTTTTCCAAACTATCCAGCTTAGAAGAATCACCGAGCACACTTTTATTTTTAATACAGATTTTAGATCTATTCTTAGATAATTTGATTTAGTACACATGGGAGGAGAGGGTGCAGGTGCCAAAAATATAGAGATTCCCTGGGGATTCCTAAGACTAGGTCAGTTGGGAGTGTTGCCTAAGGACATGGCTGCCCCTTATTAATCACAAAACTGATTTCCCTTGTAAAAATATCCAGCTGTTTTTTCCCTCCTGAGACAAACTGGTTTGCATGGGATTGGGCAGCCAGAGGGCTGACTTTTATTTTCCTGTGACCCCTACATGGATGACCTCCTTCTTGTCCATTTACTCAGCTGTAACAATGAGGTTAAGGTGGCTCCATGTGAGGGTGTGAAGAGGTGGAGCTAAGAGAAGGAGTTTGATAATTGAAAAAAATACGCAAGCGTTTTGCGAGCCTTCGTTGGAGGTTTCTCGGAGACTGTGTTCAAAAGGAGCGTGCTTCTTTCCATCTCTGATTTGGCCAGTCAGCCTTGTCTGTGGATGCTTCTAGCATTCCAGAATTTAGCTGCATTAAGTGAACTTAAGATGGGCTGAGTGAGTCCCTTCCACCCACTGTGCTTGCTGGCACGCCCTCTATGGCAGCTCACTGCTTGAAGTTAATAATGGCCTGTTGGTAAACTACATCTGAGAACTTGTCTTGAACTTTTCTCGTGTTCTTCGACATTAGATGACCTTGGTAAGATGATTCAGGGAACCACACGTGTCGTCTGCTGCATGTCCCAGGCTCATTTGGCAGGTGGCACTCTGGGCACTGTTCCCACCACCACTCACTCTCCAACTTGGTCTCCACGTTGCCTGCTGGGCGTTATGAAGGACATGCTGACCTTTTCCAAACTGACAGAGGGAGGTGACAGAAAGAGTGCTTGGGCATGGACAGATCTGGGTTCCAGTGGCACTTCTGCGATCTTGTGTGTGTGATGTGGGTTTTTCCCAGCCTCACAAGGCATCCTTACCTGTGAAAGAGGGAGCGTAGGGCTTCCCTCACAAGTTTCTGAGGACTGAATAATATAAGGTATACAAAGCACCTAGAAGACGGCCTGGCCAGTGGAAAACACTAACATTTTAGCTGTTCTTACGATGATCAATTTTATCAATTCTTAGATGCACATAGTTCTTCACATTTTTAACGTCTTCAGAAATGAGGGTGTGTCTTACAATCGGAAAAAATTAACACATGCCCTCCAGAACCTGACCAGAACCAGGAAGTGTCTGATTTTACTCCCTTCCCTTTTAGTATAAAAGAAGCCTGGATTCTAAATCAGGCAAGGTGATTCTTTTAGTCCGCCTTCTTCTTGGTCTGTTGGCTTTTGGAATAAAGTTGCTATTCCTTGCCCCAACAACTCATCTCTCGATTTATTGGCCTGTCGTGCAGCGAGCAGTATGAGCTTGGACTCGGTAACAGTAGGACTTGGATTATTGTACCACTGGACCTGTGTGTCCTTTGGTAGAACCATATAGCAATGTGTAGGTAATTTTTTCATTTTTTGGAATGATGACTGACCAGTGAATTTTGTCTCCCTTTGACCTATCGGATAAATCTGCAAAATAACCCAGAATCCCTGATTTCTGAGTGCCTGCTTCAAGAGAATACTATTCACATACCAAAGTGCCTAAGTTGCTTTCCCAAGAAAGCAGACTGTTCTCTCTGCCTGAAGGGACCTGATTCAAAATTCTTTCTTGGGACTCGGGACAGTGTGACATCTGATCCCGTGTTGTTCCCTCCAGCAAGAGGCCAATACATGAGTGAATGAGACAGAATTGTTACGGACCCCTGTGGCAGAGGAGGAAATAGGTAATTGGCTGCGGCACAAACTGGTTATGCTCACCTAGAACATTAAAGTGCCCCTGAGGCCTGTACACCAGGTCTGTCAATCCTGTCTGGAATCTGCTCTTCCTGAGTTAACCACGTTGACATTCTTGGTCCTGAAGTTATAAAGAGTTGAGTAAGCACCTACTTATATCATTCCCATCTATGTCCTCTCATTAAGCACCTGCATGATCTCACTTAACCCTCATGGCAGCTGCCGAAGACAGGAAGCAGCGTAATGAGGTCATATGGAGCAGGCCTAGAGATCTGCATTCAAATCCTGACTTCCTTACTTACAAGCTGTGCAGTTTTGGGTAAACGACTTAACCTCTCTGAATCTCAGATTTCTATCTTTAAAATAGAGGGGAAAATAATACTTGCCTCTGAGAACTAATGTAAGGATTAAGCATTGCTTAGTCAACACTTAATGGAGGTGTCCCAAAAGTGGTTAGTGCTTTCCCCAGCAACCTGCAAGCTGTCTGGCATATAGTAGGTGCTCAATAAAAGTCAATCTGCCAGAGATGCACATTACTATATATAAAATAGATAAACAACCAGGACTTATTGTATAGCATAGGGACCTATATTCAATTTCTTGTAATGAGCCACAATAGAAAAGAAACTGAAAAAAAAATACATATGTATGTATACATATAATTGAATCAATTTGCTGTACACCTGAAGCTAACATTGTAAACTGACTACACTTCAATAAAAAATGAGGATTATAAAAAAGTCATTCTGTCAGAGAGAGAGAGAGAGAGAGATCTAAGGGAGGTGGTGCATCAGTAGTTCGATAAGAATGAAGTGTCTCCTCTTATGCTTTAAGCCTGTGCTGGGAACTGCAGGGGCCCAGACAAACAATAATAGCAATTCGTATTTACGTAGCATTTTATAGCTGACAAAGCACATTCATATGTTTTCATTTAAACTTCCCAACACACCCAAGACAGAAAGGGTGTTCTTATTACTATGTCTGGAGGAATTTGAAGCCCAGAGAAGTTAAAGAGCAGAGGCGCATGTACGTGTCCCCACGAACTGAGGAGAATGATTACAGAGCAGAGCTGGTGGGTTTAGCAATCAGGAGGGCTTTGGTGACCTTCCAGAGAGCACGTTCATTAGAGTGATGGGGACAGACGCCAGACCTTGGGGACTGAGAAAGATACGGATGGAGAGGAAATAAGAATCAACCTCCTGGCAGCAAAGCAAAGGAGGGAAATGGGATGCGAGCAGGATCAAACAATGGCTTTTTCAAAATAAGGGTGATCTGTGTGCGGTTATCCCTTGGAAATGACTTGTTCAGGCTGATTGGTGAGGACTGAAACTTAGAAAGGGATACATCATGGCAGCTGAAGGATCACTTTGAAAAATGATTCTTTGCTTTGCAAAAGAATTCTCAATAGACTGGGAAAAAAATCTAAGTGGTCAGTAAAACCAGGAAGATATACTCAGCCTCCCATATAATAAAATAAATACTAGTTACAGTAAGAATGAGATACCATTTTTCACCAGTGAAACTGACTTAGATGAAGCAGTTTGATAAGATGGAGAGGAGGCAGATTGTAGACATATGGTACATCTATTCAGCAATTGCAGGAACGAGGGGGGCTCTCTATGTCCTAACATGGAGTGGGGTCCATCCGTCACATATCGATCAGCGAAAAACAAAAGGCAGACATTTTTAAAAAAATCATGCTGAAATATGTAGCAAAAATGGCTGGGAAACAATACAGGGTTAAAGTTGATTATTAGGAAGGAAAAGGGGTGATTTTACTCTTCATGTTATTGTCCTCTCTACTATGAGTGGATTTTTTTAAAACCATGAGTATGCATTACATTTAAAATAAAATGCTGATTTGAAAAAATCACCACAAAATCCCTTTAAATCTTTAGGTCTTCTAGTACACTTGAAAAAAAATTGCATTTATAAAAATGTGATCTATTCACTTTTTTCCTGGAACACATCTACTGTATTAAGGGACACCAATACAGTTAATGACCCATCACCAATGGGTTTCTATAAAGACTTTCTTCTCCATTGGCCATTTCCTCCTCTGTGGAGGCTTACAAATTGCCAAGAAGCTAGAATTTCCCAACCTAAGTGAGTAGAAACCTTTCAACACCTCTAGTGCAATCAGGCTCATTTAGAATGGGTCTGTGATTACAAAAGAGTGTTTGAGGACTATTCCATTTTGGATTCGTAGATGGAGTCTCACAAATCTGATTGATCATTATAACCCCTGGGGCACTTTTTATTGAAAAGATAGACTCTGTTATTGCTCATCCCTCATTCTGATCTGATAAGTCAAGGTTGGTGCCTTTTTTTTTTTTAATTCTCAAGAACTAGATTAGGGAATGCTTATCTTGCATTGTGGCAACTCTCTCTTTTATTTCTTAGAAATTACTATGCAATGGTGCAAGTCATTCTCTCTAGAAAGGAAGTCTTTATTTATTGGCTCAGCAACTGGGAACATGTTTACAGTCGCCAGAAGTCTATTGACATGCAGAGGGAATGCACAAGTGAGGACAGTGTTCCCTAAACTTCTCCAATAGAGAGTTTCAGTCACAAAGAACGCCTTCTAAAAGATCACAGCTATGACATCTGTTGGGCTAAGATTGTAGGAGGCAGGGCTGATGAGAGCTGTTTAAAGCAGCAATTTCCAACAATCTAAAGACACAGGGCTTGTCAAGGCAGTCTACGTAGAAGTAGGGGCCCTTGCTGAAATAATTTCCTCTAATGTCTACATTTGCCAAAGCTTTGCTTATGGTTCCCTTAATAGAGATGGACATCAATCTTGGAAGAAACGTAGTTTGGTCTTGAATGTAGATATCTTCCCCCCTCCAAACTCTGTCATCTAAAATATTATCCAGTGGTTGGTTGAAATTGGGCTTGGAGAACTGCCTATCAAGACTTTTGATTGTTCCCCTCACCCCCACTCCCAGGGAGACTTAATTTGCTTTTCTTTGGCTTATATTCATTTAAAACAAGAATTATGCTTTCATATTGAAAAAATTGTGCTTGCCTTGCCTGCCTCTCCAGATTGATGTCTCACTGCCCCCACCGTTTTTTGTACCCTTAGCTCTGGCTTGAACTGCTTGCAGTTCCCTGAATGCTCCAAGCTCCTCCATACTCTGCCTTCACCCATGCTGTTCCTTTGTGCTTCCTTGCCTTTTTGGGCTTGGCAAAAACTCCTACTCTTCAACTCCAAACTCAGGCTCTCTGCACCCCTCTGATCTCATCTTCAGTGGTTATGATTTTAATCTCTAAAAATTCTATCTCTTTGTTTATATTTGCAAAGAATATCTCTGGACAATTATTGGAAATTAATACAATTGTTTAGGCAGTTGAATGGCTGGGAAACAAGGGTGGGAGGAAGATGCTTCATTGTACACACATGTTAGTTCCTTTGAACTTTTGTACAATGTACATTTATACCTATTCTAATCAATTCAATTCAAATGTAAAAACAATAACAAATATCAGCTGCAGAAGATATGCTATACTCTTCTCAGATTAACAACTTTAAGGCATATTTCCAAATCTATCTCTTTAAAAAATCTTTATTTTTAATTTCACAAGTAATATGTAAATTTTCTCCATTATAAATGCCAATGCAAATTAGTCTTTCTGCTACCAGCCTTCTCTGACATGATACTCATGTAATTTCTATTCTTGCCTTAAATGTGTTTTGAGTATATATATTAAAAAAAACTCAAGTGTATTACAAACCTGAAGAGGGTCAATTGTTTACAAAATGTGAACTTGAGTTGCTTTTAAATTTAATAATGCTGGGCTTTGCTGAAAGGGTTCATTAGGGTGACCAGCTGTCCCAGTTTCCCCAGAACTAAAAGGGTTTCCAGGACATTGGACTTTCAGTGCTGAAACTGGGTAAGCCTCATACATACAGGGATGCCTGATCAATTAGAATGGACATTGGCCCAAACAGGAGGAATGTTTGATGTAAAGCCCCACACTGGGTATGGTGCATGGCAACTGATTACCATCCCTGGTTTTATAGCTTTCCTCATCTTTCCAGAAGCATTGTTCATCGACTTTATGACATTTTCAAAAAGACCTTAACTTCTACTTTAAATTTCATAATGAAATAAGTGGCATAAAGAAAGAATTTCTTTGACATTTGATGCTGTTATGTTCTTAACTGAAGCTGGGAGATTTATCACCTTTAATGGTGCATGCAAAGTAAATCTTATTTTTAACTTCAGACTCAAAAAGAAAATATACCATTCTGACTTTTTCTTTAAATAGCCCGAGGTTTACAAAGTCAAGAACCATTGAATTCAATTGTATAGGATGGCACAAGTAAGTAATTAAAAAGTAAATTAGCAGATGAGAATAATGAATTTGTAAGTGGGAGGGGCAGAGAGGCCTATAAAAAGTACTCAACCTGAGAAAAAAGGAAGATTAATTTCAGTTAGAAGTTGATTGAGAGAGCTCATTGTGTTTTCAGCCTAAAACTGAAATGCATACTGAACAAAGCTGTTCCAGACTTCATTAACCAGTAATCTATGTACATAAGAGTGACACTGAACAAATAAATGTAGTGGAGCAAAATAAATAAGTTTTTCAAAATAAATGTCTTTTAACAGTAGTTGGCTATTAGTTAAAATAACGAAACAGCTCCAAAAAGCAAGCCTATGAAGTTCTCCTCTTTGATGCTTTTTTAACCCCCATTCAGAATTTTATTCCCTGATTTCAGGAACCTACAAGTAAAGAGACCAATTTTATATATTCTGTGGATCTTTGCAAAAAGATGAAAGCTACAGATTGAAGGTTTTGTCCACAGATGGGTTAGACAGCTCACACAGAATATTTTTAAATGGTTTACTTTGGCCCCTTCTGATGGTTTGGGGCACCCAGAGTAGGAATTCTTTACCTGGATACCTTTCTGGAAGTATAAAACCATCTGAAAGCTAGAAACTGTCTGTAAAGCTTTGTGTTTATGTATCCATGGGTGTTTTCCTGCAGAAAAAGTTCTCCATTATCTTTGAGCTTCCAAAGGGTTCTGTCACCCTTCAAAACATTTAGGAAGAATTGAAATGCTACAGGGAAGTTTTCTGTTTCTCTGTCTCTGTCTCTCTTTAATCGTTTGACAACAGGATTTGAAAGAGATTCTGTTTGCTTTACTTGAAGGACTGAAAATCCAGTTCTATAAGCAGAGAGAAAGATCCCACTTAGTCCTTATCCACTGGGCACACTCTACAGATGTGTAGATAGACCTACATACAGATTGTTGATTGCTGGGAGCAAGTGGGCAGACTTGCAAATGGACTAAGAAATACTCAGGGGGGATAGAAATATGGATCCTAATACTTTCCCTTTAAACTTTAAGTATATACAACATTTCTAATGAGGCCAGCTGACAGAGAAAAAAAAAAGTTAGCCCTCCCCAAAGGTGAAAGTAACTCACGGTAAGGGTGAAGTCTGAACTGATAATGTGGACTCTATATGAAGTCAGAAAAAACTACCTGAAATTTAGAAATAGGGGAGATATTGCTGGGTGTTCTTTAGTGCAGTGTTGGGTTGACTTTATGTTGTCAGGGACATTTCATAGCTCATAGGAGGCGGAGATTAACTTACAGATTTTTGTCTGATAGGGTTTAGCCAGATGAAACAAAATTTTACCTGGTGGAACAGATGACCATAAAGGGTACAATTTATGATCCTGTTGCACATTAACCAAGTCTGCAAAAAAAAAAATTGAGGTAAAATTAACACAAATTAACATAAAATTAACCATTAACTATTTTAAAGAGTGTAATTTAGTGGTATTTACATTCAGAATGTTGTGCAATGTCACCTCTAACTAGTTCTAAAACATTTTCATCATCCCAAAAGGAAACTCTGCACCCATGAAACAGTCACTCCCCATTCCACCATACTCCCAGCTCTGTAAACCTCTGATCTGCTCTCTGTCTCTATGAAGTTGCTTATTCTGGATATTTCATGTAAATGGAATCATACAGTATGTGGCTTTTTGTGTCTGGCTTCTTTCATTCAGTTTATTTTTGAGGTTCATTCATGCTATAGCATGTATCAGTACTTCACTGCTTTTTATGGTGGGGTAATATTCCACTGTAGGGACAGATCACATGTTGTTTATCCATTCATCTGTTGATGGACTCTTGGGTTGTTTCCATTTTTGGCCATTGTCAACAGTGATACTATGATCATTCTCACATAGCATTTTTTTGTTCCAGTTTTTGAGGAAGCACCAAACTGGTTTCCATAGTGGCTATACCATTTTACATTCCTCATGACAACATACAATTGTTCCAGTTTCTCCATATTCTCATCAATGCTTATTTTCCTTTTTTTGTTGGTTGTGGCTAACCTAGTGGGTGTGATTTAATTATGGTTTTGATTTGCATTTCCCTAATGACTAATGACATTGAGCATATTTATGTCCTTGTTGGCCATTTGTATATCTTCTTTGGAGATGTCTGTTCAAGCTCTCTGCCCATTTTTTTAATTGGGTTGTTTGTCTTTTTGGTGTTGACTTTGTATATATTCTTTATATATTACAGATATTTAATAAACTCATATCACATATATGATGGACAGATATTTTCTCCCATTTCTTGGCTTATTTTCTCATTTTCTTGGTAAAGCCCAATTTATTTATTTTTTGGTATTTTTGTTGCCTTTGCTTTTGGTGTCATATCTAAAAACAACTGTCAAATTCAAAGTATGAAGATTGACTCCCATGTTTTCATCTGGGTTTTACAGATTTAGGTCTTTGATCCATTTTGAGTTCATTTTTGTATATGGTATGAGTTAAGGGTCCAACTTAATTCTTCTGCACATGGATAATCAGTTGTGCCAGAACCATTTTTCAAAGAGACTGTTCTTTCTTCATTGAACGGTCTTGGCACCCTCATCCAAAACCAATTGACTATGGATTGATAGGTTTATTGTGGGGCTCTCTGTTCAATTCCATCCTTACCTATCTCTGGACTCTTCATTTTTTTGGTCCCACCTGCAGAGATTCTGATGTAATTGATCTGGGGCATAGCATGGGCACTGTTGTTGTTTTTTTTTAACTCCCCAAGATGATCCTAACTGTACTTAGAGTTGAGAATCACTGTCTTAAGAGAAGTTCTAGTGAAACCATGCTTGATCTAATCTCATTAGATTAGGTGCCTCAGGATTCTCACCGGGAAAAATGGCTCTGAGTGGGTGTCACTAAGACCTCTGCTGCAACAATATGGCATTTTCTTACCTATTTCAGAGATGGAAAACACCTGGCACCTAATCTTTGCCCACAATTTCCACTCAACACCTGATCTAACCACAGACCCTTTTATGTTCCAAAACAAAGTAGAAGTACAGAAGTAGGTGATTTCAAGGTGTGGTTCCCAGCTGATTGATAAGCCCAGATTCTTTCCATCTTCCTGCTCTACCATCCCCAGTGTTTCAGTGACATGTGTTCTTTCAAGGGTACAAGAAGGCTGCTGCAATAGCAAAAAGCAACAATGTCCAAAAGCAGGAAGGGGGGAGAAAGAGATTTCCTTACTTCTCTTATCCATTTCTCTCTTTATCCCAGAAAATATCCCTTTCAAGGCCCACTGGGCAGGCCTGTGTCGTATGGCCACACCTTAACTTCAAGGAGGCTCAGAAATAAGTAACTAGATTTTCAGTTTCTCTTAGAACACGAGGAAGGTTCTGCCGGCAAGAATAAAGGGTAGAAAGATGGCTGTTAGGTTGGCAACTAAAAATGTCTGCTTTTCGACACGATGGTAGTAACACTTATTGTTATATGATCACTTTACATTCTAAATGACCACACTTGAGCAGGCTGGCATGTCACACTGGGACAAATGAATTTGCTTAAAGATGCTACAATCTGAAAGCAAGTCCTGTGTTTCTCACTGACCACCCCAACTAACTGAGTCCTGAGTCAATATTGCTATGACTAGGGAACCCTATGCGTCTTTTTCCTCTAGGCTTCTACAGAATTTGTGATCCCTTCAGAGCCAATTTAATTTAATTAATCTAATAAAGGACGGCACAGGAGAAGGCTGCTATTGTGCTGTAATGCTCAGGAGGTAGCTTTGTATTTGCTTTTTTTTTTAAAGTTTGATTAAAAATTCAATAAAACAAACAAGTTACAATGTATAATTATCATTAATCTCAGAGCAGATTATTTTCATGCACTTATGAAAAACTCAAGTAATCTTATCTAGCCTTGCAATTTAGACATAAATTCACTGAGGAAATCTTCTTCGTCTTTATTCAAGGTTCTCTGTTCTAATTCTTAGAGCATTTAACTTATTTGTGTATATTCTCCACTTTTTTGATCAATTCTTATTTTCTCAAACTTAAACAAAAATTACTGTTTAACAATGCACGTTGGTTGTAATGTTACCAGCCCGGATCCTTGGACTCTTTAATCAATAAAAGTTGATGAGGCCAGATGAGGAATTCAGGCAAGTCTTTCTGCCCCAAGGTGGGATGTGTTGGTCCCTCAAATGTAGTGAGGGTAGGGGCGGACATGTGGATCTGGCTGGAGGGGTGGCTTAGGTATTCTGCCCACCCTTTGGTGGTGGTGTGTGCAGGGATCATGCGTAGTACGCTGCTTTTGCTCCCTCGAAAGTTGCAGTTGCCGGAGGGTGGGAAGGGATAGACTGGGATTTCAAAATTGTAGAATAGATAAACAAGATTATCCTGTATAGCACAGGGAAATATACACAAGATCTTATTGTAGCTCAGAGAGAAAAAAAATGTGACAATGAATATATATATATATGTTCATGTATAACTGAAAAATTGTGCTCTACACTGGAATTTGACACAACATTGTAAAAGGATTATAAATCAATAAAAAATGTTAAAAAAAGTTGCAGTTGAGTCTTGAACGTTTTGTATCTTATTTTTCATAATTTGACCCAACTGCACATCCATGCAGTTATTTTTAGTCTCTTATAGTTGTTTCTTTGTATTCTGTTGCTCAGTGAGATGTTTGTCCAGGTTCAAGTACTTCTGTAAAGGGTCCAAGGTCCCAGCTTACCTCAGTAAGAATACAAATAATATAAAACTATAGAAAGTTAAAAGGAAAAGTGCCCCCTTGCATTGCCATCCCCCAACCCCAGCCAATTCCCCATCCTTAAATACCCCTCCACAGTTAACAATTCAATACTTGTTGTAGGCCTACAGAAATACGCACCTACAGACTTGTGCATTGTTTAAAGAGCACATTACATATTGTTCTACAGCTTTTTTCCCCTCATTTAACAATATATCCTAGTCAACTTTCCATATGCTTATGTATAAATTTACTTAATGTTTATCATGTATTATATTCCATATAATGTGCCTTTTGTAATTTTCAGAATATTTTTATCTTCCACTCCCCTTTTTTTCATAGAAAAGAGCTCCCCTTGACTAACACTGTAATGACTCTGAGTTTTAACAACGGTGCTAATAAATTTTAGGAATGCTAAAGTCTTGATAGAACATAATCTTTTTCAGCATGAAATTGGATAAAAAATGATGCTATGATTTTATAATGATGATGATTATGACAACTACTTGTGTTTATACATTTTAAGATAATTTTCTATAAAGAATCTCATTTACACTTCATCTAATGATATTTTGTCTGGAAGTGCCTGCATATTCTCCTGATAACACTATTTTTATTGTAATAAAGTCTTACGGCATGAGCTGGGAACAGCATGGTAATGTTGTTATTGCTATCCAAGTAATTATTATTTAATAAAGATGAAAATTAATAGCTCGAACATTATTTCATGTGCAACCTTACCCAGCTTTGAATGTAGGATTCCTGACTATATCCTGCTGTTTCTTATTTCTGAGCTTCAATATACATGAGGAAAAATGGACAGAATTAAAAGGGAGAAAGACAATTCCATAATTATAGTGCTTGATTTTAATACTCCATCACAGGAATTGATAGAAAAACTAGAACCAGAAAATTAGTGCAGACATGGAAAATTTGAACAACACTATCAACCACCTTTATCTGATTGATATTTATAGGAAACTATATCAGGAAGTGCAGAATACACATTCTTTTCAAGGTTTCATTATACATTCTTAAAAACAGACCATCAGCTAGATTATAAAACAAGTGTCAATAAATTCATAGGAAATTAAGAAGACAAAATACATTTTCTGACTGCAGAGGAATTAATATAAAAATTAATAACAATACAATATATAGGAAAACCTTGAATATTTAGAAATTAAACAATGTACTTCTAAATAAATCATGAGTCAAAGAAACTACAGAGGAAACTAGAATACATTTTGAACTATATGATAAAGAACATATAACATGTATTTGTAGAATGAAGCCAAAACAGCATTTAAAAGAAAAGATAAAACTTTAAATGTTTATATCAATGACCCAAGGTTATATATCTACAAGAAGTTAGAATAAGAGGAACAAAATAAACTCAATGAGAAGGAAAAAGACTAACGATAAATTCAAATCAATAAAATAAAAACAAATAAAGAATAAAGGAAAATTAACTGATCAAAAAGTCGGTTCTTTGAAATGATCAACAAAACCAATGATGCCCTAGGTAGAATGATTAAGGAAAAAACAAAACACAAATCAGCAACATCAAGACTTAAATTTTTGTTACAGAGCACACAGGCATTAAAAGGAAAATATAATCTTATAAACAACTTTATGCCAACAAATTCAACAAACTATA